ACATCCATCACATATAATTACAGGTTTACTGAGAAGACTTGCTCAACCAATGTTTTCTTTCAACGTTTTAATTATCTTTTTCTCTTTATGAATGAATGAAGTTCAGTGAGAAAATATATACAAGATCTGGTCATACATTCTTCAATGAGTGGACTTGGCTATTTGTTGAGAACATTAATGTGATAAATGGAAAAAAAAACATTTCACCCCAAGCAAAGCAATAAAACGACTGACAGAAATGTTTTTTATATACTAATGTTCACCAAATACACAGACACACAAATATTTATGCCTACCTACATATGCATATATGTATATACACGTATATATAAATACACACGCTCTCACACACACATATATAAATACACAAACACACACATAAATACACAAACACACACACACATAAATACATATACACACATATAAATACACAAACACACACACACATATATATATATATATATGCAGACGTTAACTTAAATAGCACCCAATAGGACAGCTTTTATACTACTATACATATAAATATATATATATGAGCGGACACTGATGTCAAAACAAAGTTGCGACAGTGTTTAATGCCTGAATACAATTCTAAGACTTTTCTTATATATATATATATATATATATATATATATATGTGTGTGTGTGTGTGTAGCTATAAATCAGTATACACTCATGTATATAATTACATGTGTATATAAATATAAACAGACATGTGCACGCACACACACATATATATTTGTGTATTTTGGCAGCAATCCTTCTTTCATGCACATTTCATTAAATACGACAGACAAGGTGCTTTTATTTAGTTTTTTATACAATTTCTCATGCAATCTAATAATTTATTTTCTTTTCAGATGATAAATTATTTAAAAACTGTCTGAATGTTCTTTTTATCCAAGCACTTTCAGCTATACATTTAGCCATTTTAAAGAATTAAATATTTTAACTGTTAAATAAGAAATAGTTTGTTGTATGTATGTTTTATAAAATGCTTTCATTTTTCAAAACACATTCAAGATATTGTGTCCATGTTCAAAGTTAATATTATTATGTGTTGGTTTTTGTTTTTTTTTATTAATAAGGCTTCCATTATTTTTAGGCTTTTTTTGCATGTAGATGATGCTGTTATATTAGTGTTGTCAACAAGTATGTTACGAATAGTGTTCGGTAGGTCTCCATGAATATTTAAATGAGATCTAATTGAGCTATGGTCAGAAAGATGTAGAGTGAGTGTGTGTCAAACATATATATATATATATATATATATATTGCATCCAATTCTGTATGATAGAAAGAAGAGTGGATATTATTATTTTTCTAATGTTTTATTTATTTATTTTTTATTAGTAACTAATATTATTTGTTTATTTTGTGTAATATCTTTGGCTCTTTGTCATGATGATTCAGCCAAAATAAAAATATCAAAGAAAAACAAAAAAAAAATGTTCTCTTTGCCAATTGAGTTTCACCACTCTACAATAGAATTTTGCCCAAATGGAACAAAAAATAAAAGACAAGGCAAAAAAATGAATATTTTGTCCGTGGAAGAAATTGATTTTGGCAGGTGAAGAAATTACTTATATCAAAGGAAGAAACAAAAAAATGTTCCACCTTCAAGGTAGAAATCAGTTGTAAATAACACAACTGTAACAGAAATAGCAAATAATAAGACTTGTAACAGATACAATAAAATGGTCAAAATCTCTGCTAGCACTAAATGCACCAGAAAGGCTGATCCTGTCCTGAAATTAATGCCATCACTGACAATTATTTTTGTCAATAGTTTTGCTTTTGTTCTTATCAAAGATAAACTTCTGACTGCCATGACAAGTTTGCAATTTTCTTCTGTGTCCTCTCTTACTTCAGGATGGGAAAAATCATGGCTCCCCACAAGTTCCTATTCTTCATAGATCTGAGTAATGTTTGCCTTTTATTATCACTTCCATTCCGTGTTCTACCATATGTTTACACAAGTTCATTTGATAGGTCAATCGTTGCTTTTCTTTCCTGTCCTTGCTGTCAATATCTTCCTTTTCTCATTATATATCCTAGAACTTTGTTATAATGTATGGCAAGAGTGTGTTGAGGTTGAGGGGAAACACCTAACTGATTGCTCTCCCAGCAACTACAGGGGGTAATAGGCAGAGGTGGGGGAAAGAGACAGAAGGTAATAAAAATAAAACTGCCTAGGAAACAACAGCAACTTGAGGAACAAAAAGATCAAAGGATTGACTTCATAAGCCACTATGTCTTGCAAACTGTTGGTTTTACCTTTCTTTTATGGGCATGAGGCATCTTACAAAGATCCAGATCTTGACCCATTGCAGAGAGGCCTGTATCTAGATATACCAAACTGTCCCGCTGCTAACATGGAAAATCCAGATGTAACTGGTGTTGACGAAGATGTCCACATGTGATCCGAGGTCTCTTTTACATCTGTAAGGATGTGCATTCGCCACAAACTTACAACTGTCTCTTTGTGATTCTAACTATAATTGTACTCTTTTTTTTCTATTCCCCTTAAAATATACTTGTTGCCCACATGCTGAGTCCATGGTATCCTTATCATCCTTCTGTAGAACCACATTTCTGTTGCCTCAAGTTCCTTTTGAAGAGATTGTCTACCATTCATTGCCAGATTGGATGACTGTTATTACATTGTCATTGAGCAATCTTGTTTTCTAATGAAATTATCTTGTTTCTTAATACTTTGTTTAGATTTTGGAAGTCATCTTTTGCTATTCAAATGTGACTCCAAAATCCAAAGGCACATTGGAATAGTTACTAATACCAGCTTCAAAGCCAATTATACTTCATTTTAGTATTTTCCATGGAAAGTGTTTAGGTAAACTATATTCTTTTGTTCTACCAGTTCTTACTTTCATGACTATGACTCGCCATACAATGCACATTGTAGCAACACCCCCACTTCATTCCGTTCATATTTCATTTGTGAGATTTAGGTTACACTCAAACCTTTTTCTCCATGAACTGCTGCTCTGTGGAACCAACTCCCACAAGGATGCTTCCCCAATTACTACAATCTTAACTTGTTCAAATCTAAGGTTAACTGCTATCTTCCCTACATATCACATAAACTATGCCTCTTACTTTGTAACCCGTTACCTCGAGTGGTACCTGGTGTTTGTACATGGTGAACATTATTAATAAAAAAAAAAAAATTATTTTATTTATAGTCAGACTGATATCTTCATCTTTGTTGTTATTATCCCAACATTTTAGCAATTATGCCCTCTAGTCTTCTTGATGTATCTCTGGATCAATCTGATATCTGTGATTCTCAACGTGGTCCAAGTTGACCACTGGTGGTCCACATAGAATTTCTAGTGGTCCACAGAGAATTTGTAGCCATTTCACAAATATGTATCTCAATTATTCATACTTTGAAGAATTAAAAAATATAATATTTTGTTTAATTACACACATGTCCATTATATTTGAAAATTTCTACAGCAAAGGAACTATCAGACTAAGACTGAATGACATCATCAAAATTGATTCTGATATCTTGTGTCAGAAACACCAAGATCAAGGTAAGTCACCAGTTGAATGGGCTAAGACTGAATGACACCATCAAAAATGATTATGATATCTTGTGTCAGAAACATCAAGATAAGTCACTAGTTGAATGGACTAAGTCATCATCAAAATTGGTTTTGGTATCCTGTATTTATCATTGATAACTAAAATAAATTTTAAAATGTAAATAGACTACTTTGTCTTTTTATTGAGTATTTTACTGTGAAAATTGAACAGCCTAAAAGTAAAAATATGAGTGGTCCATTTGAGTTTTTGAAGAAAACATGGTCCATAGGCTGAAAAAAGTTGAGAAAAACAACATTAGTGCACAAGAAACTGATAATTGTGGTCAGATACAACAGATTATTATGATAAATAATATAAATCCTCTGCCATTGTGGCATTTTAGTACTTTATTTTTCTGTGCAATTTAGTATACTCCTACTGGAGTTACTTACTTCACTATGATTCTATATATGCTCTGGTTTAATGGCTATAAGGACTTGGTATTTTCAAGCACTCTTTTTGCATTTTCCTCATGTCCTCCTTTGTAGATGCCATCTTTCTCATGTCCTCCTTTGCAGATGCCATCTTTCTCATGTCATCCTTTGCAGATGCCATCTTTCTCATATCCTCCTTTGCAGATGCCATCTTTCTCATATCCTCCTTTGCAGATGCCATTTTTGTCATATCCTCCTTTGCAGATGCCATTTTTGTCATATCCTCCTTTGCAGATGCCATCTTTTTCGTGTCCTCCTTTGCAGACGCCATCTTTTTAATGTCCTCCTTTGCAGATGCCATCTTTTTCGTGTCCTCCTTTGCAGACGCCATCTTTTTCGTGTCCACCTTTGCAGACGCCATCTTTTTCAAGTCCTCTTTTGCAGATGCCATCTTTCTCATGTCCTCCTTTGCAGATGCCATCTTTCTCATGACCTCCTTTGCAGATGCCATCTTTCTCATGTCATCCTTTGCAGATGCCATCTTTCTCATGTCCTCCTTTGCAGATGTCATCTTTTTCATTTCCTCCTTTGCAGATGCCATCTTTTTCATATCCTCCTTTGCAGATGCCATTTTTGTCATATCCTCTTTTGCAGATGCCATCTGTCTCATGTCCTCGTTTGCAGATGCCATCTGTCTCATGTCCTCCTTTGCAGACGTCATCTTTCTCATATCCACCTTTGCAGATGCCATTTTTGTCATATCCTCTTTTGCAGATGCCATCTTTCTCATATCCTCCTTTGCAGATGCCATCTTTCTCATATCCTCCTTTGCAGATGCCATCTTTTTCATTTCCTCCTTTGCAGATGCCATTTTTGTCATATCCTTTTTTGCAGATGCCATTTTTGTCATATCCTCTTTTGCAGATGCCATCTTTCCCATGTCATCCTTTGCAGATGCCATCTTTCTCATGTAATCCTTTGCAGATGCCATCTTTCTCATGTCATCCTTTGCAGATGCCATCTTTCTCATGTCATCCTTTGCAGATGCCATCTTTCTCATATCCTCCTTTGCAGATGCCTACTTTCTCATGTCATCCATTGCAGATGCCATCTTTCTCATGTCATCCTTTGCAGATGTCATCTTTCTCATATCCTCCTTTTCAGATGCCATTTTTGTCATATCCACTTTTACAGATGTCACCTTTCTCATGTCCTCCTTTGCAGATGCCTTCTTTCTCATATCCTGTTTTGCAGATGCCATTTTTGTCATGTCCTCCTTTGCAGATGCCATCTTTCTCATGTCATCCTTTGCAGATGCCATCTTTCTCATGTCATCCTTTGCAGATGCCATCTTTCTCATGTCATCCTTTGCAGATGCCATCTTTCTCATCTTCCTTTGCAGATGCCATCTTTTCATTCCTTTTTAAAGATGCCATTGTTATATCCTCTTTTAAAGATGCCATCTTTCATATCCTCCTTTGCAGATGCCATTTTTGTCATATCCTCCTTGCAGATGCCATTTTTTTCGTCCTCCTTTGCAGATGCCATCTTTTTTTCATATCCTCCTTTGCAGACGCCATCTTTTTTAAAGTCCACTTTTGCAGATGCCATCTTTTTCAAGTCATCTTTTGCAGATGCCATGCCATCTTTTTCGATGCCATCTTTTCATGTGCAGATGCCATCTTTCTCATATCCTCCTTTTGCAGATGCCATTTTCATGTCCTCCTTTGCAGATGCTTTTCTCATGTCCTCCTTTGCAGATGCCATCTTTCTCATGTCCTCCTTTGCAGATGCCAATCTTTCTCATGTCCTCCTTTGCAGATGCCATTTTTCTGTCCCATCCTTTGCAGATGCCATCTTTCTCCATATCCTCCTTTGCAGATGCCATTTTTGTCATGTCCTCCTTGCAGATGCAGATGTCATCCTTTTGCAGATGCCATTTTGTCCTCCTTTGCAGATGCCATCTTTCTCATGTCCTCCTTTGCAGATGCCATTCTTTTTGCAGATGCATCTTTCTCCTCCTTTGCAGATGCCATCTTTCATATGTCCTCCTTTGCAGATGCCCCTTCTCATATCCTTTCCTATTTGCAGATGCCCCTCATCCTCCTTTGCAGATGCCATCTTTCTCATGTCCTCCTTTGCAGATGCCATCTTTTCATATTCCTCCTTTGCAGATGCCATCTTTTCTCCTCCTTTGCAGATGCCATTTTTTCATCCATTTGCAGATGCCATCTGTCCTGTGCAGATGCCATTTCTTTCTCATGTCCTCCTTTCCTTTGCAGATGCCATCTTTTTCATTTTTTGCAGATGCCATCTGTTCCTCCTCCTTGCAGATGCCATCTTTTTCATATCCTCCTTTGCAGATGCCATCTGTCTCATATCCTCCTTGCAGATGCCATCTTTCTCATGTCCTCCTTTGCAGATGCCATCTTTCATATCCTCCTTTGCAGATGCCATCTTTCTCATGTCCTCCTTTGCAGATGCCATCTTTCTCATGTCCTCCTTTGCAGATGCCATCTTTCTCATGTCCTCCTTTGCAGATGCCATCTTTCATCCTTGCAGATGCCCTTTCTCTATCCTCCATGCAGATGCCATCTTTTCTCATATCCTCCTTTGCAGATGCCATCTTTCTCATATCCTCCTTTGCAGATGCCATCTTTTTCATTTCCTCCTTTGCAGATGCCATCTTTTCTCATATCCTCCTTTTGCAGATGCCATCTTTTTCATTCCTCCTTTGTCATATCCTCTTTTGCAGATGCCATCCCCTTGCATATCTTTTGTATGTGCCATCTTTTGCATATCCTCCCTTGCAGATGCCATCTTTCTCATATCCTCTTTTGCAGATGCCATCGTCATTCCTTTGCAGATGCCATCTTTTCATATCCTCCAGATGCCATCCTCATATCTTTTGCAGATGCCATTTTTGTCATGTCCTCCTTTGCAGATGCCATCTTTTCCTCATATCCTCCTTTTGCAGATGCCATTTTTTCATATCATCCTTTTGCAGATGCCATCTTTCTCATATCCTCCTTTGCAGATGCCATCTTTCTCATGTCCTCCTTTGCAGATGCCATTTTGTCATATCCTCCTTTGCAGATGCCATCTTTTTCATATCCTCCTTTGCAGATGCCATCTTTCATCCTCCTTTGTCCTCTTTTGCAGATGCCATTTTTTCTCATGTCCTCCTTTGCAGATGCCATTTTCTCATATCCTCCTTTGCAGATGCCATTTTTTCTCATATCCTCCTTTGCAGATGCCATCTTTTCATCATTTGTGCCATTTTTTCATGTCCTCTTTTGCAGATGCCATTTTCTCATATCCTCCTTTGCAGATGCCATCTTTCTCATGTCCTCTTTTGCAGATGCATTCTTTCTCATGTCATCCTTTGTAGATGCAATCTTTCTCAAATCCTATTTTGCAGATGCCATCTTTCTCATATCCTCCTTTGCAGATGCCATCTTTGTCATATCCTCTTTTGCAGATGCCATCTTTCTCATATCCTCCTTTGCAGATGCCATCTTTCTCATGTCCTCCTTTGCAGATGCCATCTTTCTCATATCCTCCTTTGCAGATGCCATCTTTTTCATGTCCTCCTTTGCAGATGCCATCTTTCTCATATCCTCTTTTGCAGATGCCATTTTTGTCATATCCTCCTTTGCAGATGCCATCTTTTCATCCTTTCTCATCTTTTTATATCCTCTTTTGTCCAAGATGCCATCTTTTTGTCATTTGCAGATCCATCCCTTTTTTGCAGATGCCATCTTTTTTTCATATCCTCCTTTGCAGATGCCATCTTTCCATCCTTTGCAGATGCCATCTTTCATATCCTCCTTTGCAGATGCCATCTTTTCATATCCCTCCTTTGCAGATGCCATCTTTTCATGTCCTCCTTTGCAGATGCCATCTTTCTCATATCCTCCTTTGCAGATGCCATTTTTTCATGTCCTCCTTTGCAGATGTCATCTTTTCATGTCCTCCTTTTGCAGATGCCATCTTTCTCATGTCATCCTTTGCAGATGCCATCTTTCTCATGTCCTCCTTTGCAGATGCCATCTTTCTTATGTCCTCCTTTGCAGATGCCATCTTTCTCATATCCTCTTTTGCAGATGCCATTTTTGTCATGTCCTCCTTTGCAGATGCCATCTTTCTCATGTCATCCTTTGCAGATGCCATCATGTCCTCCTTTGCAGATGCCATCTTTCTCATGTCCTCCTTTGCAGATGCCATCTTTCTCATGTCCTCCTTTGCAGATGCCATCCTCCTTTTTTTGCAGATGCCATCTTTTTCATGTCCTCCTTTGCAGATGCCATCTTTTTCATATCCTCCTTTGCAGATGCCATCTTTCTTATCCTCCTTGATGCTCATTTCTGATGTCCTCCTCCTTTGCAGATGCCATCTTTCTCATGTCCTCCATTGCAGATGCCATCTTTCTCATGTCATCCTTTGCAGATGCCATCTTTCTCATATCCTCCTTTTGCAGATGCCATTTTTCATGTCCTCTTTGCAGATGCCATCATATCCTCCTTTGCAGATGCCATCTTTCTCATATCCTCCTTTGCAGATGCCATCTTTTCATATCCTCTTTGCAGATGCCATCTTTCTCATGTCCTCCTTTTGCAGATGCCATCTTTTCATATTTTGCAGATGCCATCTGTTTTTCATATCCTCCTTTTGCAGATGCCATCTTTCTCATATCCTCCTTTGCAGATGCCATTTTTTGTCATGTCCTCCTTTGCAGATGCCATCTTTCTCATGTCCTCCTTTGCAGATCATCCCTCCTTTTTGCAGATGCCCTTCTTTCTCATATCATCCTTTGCAGATGCCATCTTTCTCATATCCTCCTTTGCAGATGCCATCCATATCCTCTTTGCAGACGCCATCATCCTCCTTTTGCAGATGCCATCTTTATCATATCCTCCTTTTGCAGATGCCATTTTTTGTCATTCCTACTTTGTAGATCCTCTTTTTCATATCCTCCTTGCAGATGCCATCCTTTCTGCCATTTTGTCATATCCTTTGCAGATGCCATCTTTCCATATCCTCCTTTGCAGATGCCATCTTTTGTCATGTCCTCCTTTGCAGATGCCATCTTTTCATGTCCTCCTTTGCAGATGCCATCTTTTTCATGTCCTCCTTTTGCAGATGCCATCTTTTATATATCCCATTTTGCAGATGCCATCTTTCATATCCTCCTTTGCAGATGCCATCTTTTGCATGTCCTCCTTTGCAGATGCCATCTTTTCATATCCTCCTTTGCAGATGCCATCTTTTTGTCCTCCTTTGATGCCATCTTTTCATGTCCTCATTTGCAGATGCCATCTTTTTCATATCCTCCTTTTGCAGATGCCATCTTTTCATATCCTCCTTTGCAGATGCCATCTTTTCTCATATCCTCCTTTGCAGATGCCATTTTCTCATGTCCTCCTTTGCAGATGCCATCTTTTCTCATGCCATCCTCCTTTTGCAGATGCCATCTTTTTTCATGTCCTCCTTTGCAAATGCCATTTTCTCATATCTCTTTTGCAGATGCCATTTTTTCTCATATCCTCCTTTGCAGATGCCATTTTTCATGTCCTCCTTTGCAAATGCCATCTTTCTCATATCCTCCTTTGCAGATGCCATTTTTTCATATCCTCCTTTGCAGATGCCATCTTTCTCATATCCTCCTTTGCAGATGCCATTTTTGTCTCATTTGCAGATCCTCCTTTGCAGATGCCATTTTTGTCATATCCTCTTTTGCAGATGCCATCTTTCTCATATCCTCCTTTGCAGATGCCATTTTCTCATGTCCTCCTTTGCAGATGCCATCTTTCTCATGTCCTCCTTTGCAGATGTCATCTTTCTCATATCCTCCTTTGCAGATGCCATCTTTCTCATCCTTTGCAGATGCCTTTTTCATATCAGATGCCATCTTTTTCATGTCCTCCTTTGCAAATGCCATCTTTCTCATATCAGATGCCATTTTTGTCATATCCTCCTTTGCAGATGCCATCTTTTCATGTCCTCCTTTGCAGATGCCATCTTTCTCATATCCTCATTTGCAGATGCCATTTTTTCATATCCTCCTTTGCAGATGCCATCTTTCTCATATCCTCCTTTGCAAATGCCATCTTTTCATATCCTCCTTTGCAGATGCCATCTTTGTCATATCCTCCTTTTGCAGATGCCATTTTGTCATATCCTCCTTTGCAGATGCCATCTTTTTCATGTCCTCCTTTTGCAGATGCCATCTTTTCATATCCTCCTTTTGCAGATGCCATCTTTCTCATGTCCTCCTTTGCAGATGCCATTTTTTCATATCCTCCTTTGCAGATGCCATCTTTCTCATATCTCCTTTGCAGATGCCATTTTTTTCATGTCCTCCTTTGCCATCTTTTTCATCCTCCTTTGCAGATGCCATCTTTTCATATCCTCCTTTTGCAGATGCCATTTTGTCATATCCTCTTTTTGCAGATGCCATCTTTTCTCATGTCCTCCTTTTGCAGATGCCATCTTTCTCTATCCTCCTTTGCAGATGCCATTTTTTGTCATATCCCATTTTCCATTTTTTCAGATCCTCCTTTGCAAATGCCATCTTTTCATGTCCTCCTTTGCAGATGCCATCTTTTTTCATATCCTCCTTTTGCAGATGCCATTTTTTCATATCCTCCTTTTGCAGATGCCATCTTTTCTCATATCCTCCTTTGCAAATGCCATCTTTTCATATCCTCCTTTGCAGATGCCATCTTTTTCATATCCTTTTGCAGATGCCATCTTTCTCATATCCTCCTTTGCAGATGCCATTTTTTCATATCCTCCCTTTGCAGATGCCATCTTTCTCATATCCTCCTTTGCAGATGCCATCTTTTCATATCCTCCTTTTGCAGATGCCATCTTTTTCATATCCTCCTTTGCAGATGCCATCTTTTGTCATATTCATTTTTGCAGATGCCATCTTTCTCATATCCTCCTTTGCAGATGCCATCTTTTTCATGTCCTCCTTTGCAAATGCCATCTTTCTCATATACTCCTTTGCAGATGCCATTTTTTCATATCCTCCTTTGCAAATGCCATCTTTTCTCATCCTCATTTCAAATGCCATCTTTGTCATATTTTTTGCAGATGCCATCTTTCTCATATCCTCCTTTTGCAGATGCCATTTTTGTCATATCCTCTTTGCAGATGCCATTTTTCATATCCTCCTTTTGCAGATGCCATCTTTCTCATATCCTCCTTTTAGATGCCATCTTTTTCATATCCTCCTTTGCAGATGCCATCTTTTTCATATCCTCCTTTGCAGATGCCATCTTTTTCATGTATCCTCCTTTGCAGATGCCATCTTTTCATATCCTCCTTTGCAGATGCCATCTTTTCATTCCTCCTTTGCAGATGCCATCTTTCTCATGTCCTTTTTGCAGATGCCATCTTTCTCATATCCTCCTTTGCAGATGCCATCTTTCTCATATCCTCCTTTGCAGATGCCATCTTTTTCATGTCCTCCTTTGCAAATGCCATCTTTCTCATATACTCTTTTGCAGATGCCATTTTTGTCATATCCTCCTTTGCAGATGCCATCTTTTTCATGTCCTCCTTTGCAAATGCCATCTTTCTCATATACTCCTTTGCAGATGCCATTTTTTTCATATCCTCCTTTGCAGATGCCATCTTTTTCATGTCCTCCTTTGCAGATGCCATTTTTGTCATATCCTCCTTTGCAGATATCTTCTTTCTCTTTTTCCTCCTTTGCAGATGCCATTTTGTCATATCCTCCTTTGCAGATGCCATCTTTCTCATGTCCTCCTTTGCAGATGCCATCTTTCTCATTTGCATCCTCCTTTGCAGATGCCATCTTTTCATATCCTCCTTTTGCAGATGCCATTTTTTTCATCTCCTTTTTGCAGATGCCATTTTTTCATATCCTCCTTTGCAGATGCCATCTTTCTCATATCCTCCTTTGCAGATGCCATCTTTCTCATATCCTCCTTTTGCCATTTTTTGTCATATCCTCTTTTGCAGATGCCCATTTTGTCATATCCTCCTTTGCAGATGCCATCTTTGTCATATCCTCCTTTTGCAGATGCCATTTTCTCATATCCTCCTTTGCAGATGCCATCTTTCTCATATCCTCCTTTGCAGATGCCATTTTTGTCATATCCTCCTTTTCAGATGCCATCTTTCCATGTCCTCCTTTGCAGATGTCATCTTTTCATATCCTCCTTTGCAGATGCCATCTTTTTCTCATATCCTCCTTTGCATTTTTGTCATACATCCTTTTGCCATCTTTTTTCATTTTGCAGATATTTTTTGCAAATGCCATCTTTTTCATATCCTCCTCATATCCTCCTTTGCAGATGCCATCTTTTTTTCATGTCCTCCTTTGCAGAATGCCATCTTTCATATGCCTTTTTGTCATTTTGCAGATGCCATCTTTGTCATATCCTCCTTTGCAGATGCCATTTTCCTCATATCCTCCTTTTGCAATGCCATCTTTTCATCCTCCTTTGCAGATGCCATCTTTTTCATATGTCCTCATTTGCAGATGCCATCTTTTCATATCCTCCTTTTGCAGATGCCATTTTTTTGCAGATGCCATCCTCATATCCTTTTGCAGATGCCATTTTTTCATCATATCTTTTTTGCATATCCTTTTGCAGATGCCATCTTTCTCATGTCCTCCTTTGCAGATGCCATCTTTCTCATATCCTCCTTTGCAGATGCCATCTTTTTCATGTCCTCCTTTGCAAATGCCATCTTTCTCATATCCTCCTTTGCAGATGCCATCTTTCTCATATCCTCCTTTGCAGATGCCATCTTTTTCATGTCCTCCTTTGCAAATGCCATCTTTCTCATATACTCATTTGCAGATGCCATTTTTTTCATATCCTCCTTTGCAGATGCCATCTTTTTCCCTCCTTTTGCAGATGCCATCTTTTCATATCCTCCTTTTTTTGCAAATGCCATCTTTCTCATATCCTCCTTTGCAGATGCCATTTTTTCATATCCTCCTTTGCAGATGCCATCTTTTTCATATCCTCCTTTTGCAGATGCCATTTTGTCATATCCTCCTTTGCAGATGCCATCTTTTTCATGTCATATATCCTCCTTTGCAGATGCCATCTTTTTCATATCCTCCTTTGCAGATGCCATTTTTGCAGATGCCATTTTTCTCATATCCTCCTTTGCAGATGCCATTTTTCTCATATCCTCCTTTTGCAGATGCCATCTTTCTCATATCCTCTTGCAGATGCCATCTTTTCCATGTCCTCCTTTGCAGATGCCATCTTTCTCATATCTCATTTGCAGATGCCATTTTTGTCATATCCTCCTTTGCAGATGCCATCTTTTCATATCCTCCTTTGCAAATGCCATCTTTTCATGTCCTCCTTTTGCAG